AAAGAAACTCAAAGAGTACCCCAAGTGTCTAGCAGAGTATTAAGAAGCCAAAGTCCTTGTATCTCATCATCAAACTTTACACCCATTCCGGACAGCTGGTCAAGAACACCCTGAAAATCATTAATATGATCAGAAATAGGAGTGCCCTCTTTATACCTGATATTCATTAATTGTTTCAATAGGAACTTGTTGTTGCCAGTCTTCGAAGCATAAAGTGTCTCGAGCTTGTCCCACAAACTTTTGGCATGTGTCTCATTCACAATATGATTTCTAACATTATCTTCAAACCATTGTCTAATATAGCCACAAACCTGCAGATGCTCAAATTCTCATTCTTCATCATTCAAAGACTAAGGCTTATTAGAAGCAAACACAGGTAAATGCATCTTCTTGACAAAAAGAAGATCTTTCATCTTGTCTTTCCAAATATGATAGTTACTACCATTTAAACACACCATTTTGCTCCTATTTGCCTCCATCATTCAAAACGACAATCAACAATAACCAATGCTCTGATACCACTTTGTTGGGAAAGTCAAGGCACTAACAAAGAATGTCTGACAGGATAACAGCGGAAGAATATCCAAGTCTATACTTTCCCTTCTCGATTTGAACCAAGAGAGACAAACAACCACAAGCAATATGATAGTAAGGCAGCAAGTAATTTAACCAAACAAATATAACAAGGCAATAATAAACCAATCACACAAGACACCAAGATTTACGTGGAAAATCCTTCGATGTGAAGAGTAAAAAATCACGGGACCAAAAACTCCACTATAATCACCAAGAGTTACAATATTTTTCTCCAAAATTGACCACAAAACAAGTGTCAAACAACGAGTAACAACAAAATAAGATTGCACCAAATCTAGAGAATTAAAGGAGCAAAATCACCAATTTCGCAACTACTGTTTACGACAGCAAAACTGAAGCTGCAGGCCACCAAATCCAACTCTGTCAGTTCCTAATCAAAGATTGAGATGAAGATAATATGCTGTCCAAAAATCAGCTCAATCGGACAAGAAACGAAGCGGCAATCGCAATTTGAAGTTGGCTGTTAGGGCTGAATTTTGACTGCGAAAACTGCTCTCTTTCTCTCTTTTTGGTTGCTGAAAAAACTCTCTGTGTATATGAAATAAGACATAAATAGGCTTATATTTGCCTCATAAGAATGGGCCTATGGGCAAAACTGGGTTGGTCCAAATTGAGCTTTTATTTATCCACATAGAAAAGGAAAAAGGCTCATAACCCAACAATAAATCCATAAAATGTGAACTAAGATTCGTGAGTACGAAAATCAATAGCAATATAAGTAAGCACACGAAATCCTGATGTATATATGTCCTAATGAAGTACCTTCTATGTTGGATTTGAATCTTCCTTCAATATCGATCCTAATCTTAAAAAATTTGATGATTGTTAGGAGAACGGTTACAAGAGTTAGGAGATGTAAATTCGATATATAAATTGATGGTTAAATCTCCAAAAAAAATATTCCGATTAAAGTAAATCCAAATGTGGTTGAAGTTCAATTCCAACACAAAGAAGATTCCGTTTGAGGTTGAAATAATATCAACTTACCGAAGAAGGAGTAATTTTAATTTTGAAAGTTTGGCATTGCTGTGAGAAAATAGATATATGTGTAAAGAAAAGATACCAAAAAAAGCCTTTTTGCTGTAATTAAATAGTGTAATGAAGAATTAAATAGAATCTACTTTAATATTTATATAATATGTTATTTTTTATTTGTCTGAGTTTATGATTCTATATATATATTTTCGAGTAGATTGAATACTTTAGACATCATTTCATGCATGTATAAAATTTAATTTGAAAAATATTTTCATATATTTGTAAGGTTCTAATTTTATTTAATATAAAGTCATGTTTAAATAAAAAACTATTTAAAGACATTGAATACTTTCTCAAATATTTATCCAATTACTGATTTTAATAAAGAATAAGAGTCAAAATTACACCTTTTTTTAAAAAAAAATGTCATAATAATATGTTGCATATGCATACTTATGTCGAGAAAAGGTCTATATGAAACACAAATACATCACAACAAAAGCGGTATTTAGTAGTAACAAATTTTTTATTTGTATTGTTGTAAAAGCATTTAGCGGCATTTGAGTTGATGTTATTGTATTCTGAATCTCTAAAGTCTTTAGTTGCATTTATATAAATTAGTATAAATTATAAATACTAATATCCATAATTATTGCTAAAAATAATATAACAAACAATTAGATTATTACCGCTAAATAATTAGCACAACAATTTGGAATCCAATAGAAAAAGAATGGTCCCAGCATGTGCCTCTTTCCTCCCAAAATGAAAATAAAAAAAACCCAAAGGTTGGGTTACAATAAACAATTATCAGGCAAAATAACTCCTTCAGTATTTCCTTTAATATTTTTGCAAATAGATTGAGCTTTTTTGTTATTCAAATAAGTAAGTTTTATGTCTTGTATTTTGATTTCACTACATGGATTGCTTGGACTGCATTCAAAATTCATTGCTACTTGTGTTGTTGATGTTCCAAATATATTTTGGTATGTCACTTGATTGATCTTTATGCCTGAAGCCTGCCAATTCATGAGTAATTGAAGAGTACCAATTAGAATCATCACTTAATTAATTTTATTGTTTAATTATGATATTAATTATTTATCGTTGATTTCTATTGTTTCGATGTTAAGATAGAACAGAAGGTTAGTAGGTCCTGAAGAAAAAGGCTTGCTGGTAGTTTGGTGCACCATACGTGTTTCTCCTTTCGTACCAGTACTAATAACATTATTTTTGTAGTTTCTTATTCTGCTATTTACGTGTGATTGTCATTTTTATGTTTTGATTATCATATTATTTGGCTATTTTTACTAGTTTTATTTTTTGAATATTATTGTTTGTTACGCCCTATTTTTTTTTCTACTATTTTGATATGGGTTATTTAAGTCGAGGGTTTTTGTGAAATATTTTAAGTACTTTAACTAGATAAAACATAACTCTGTCGTTTTCGAATTCAATATATGAGATTACAATGAATATATTGTTACCTGGCTAGGACAGCCTTGGTTGTTTGGGCAGTAGTTTTGATCAATAATGATTGGATTATCAACATTCTTCATCATAATATTTTGATAATTAATATTTGTGACAAAACCGGTGCTGGCCCTTGCCCAAGACTTTATCCTTAATCCATTATCAGATCCAGTAAACACTGAATTAATTAATGTCACATTTTGTACGCCATCTTCATTATAATTTCTAGCTAGACTTCCAATGCTGCAATGAACAAATCATACACAATGATATTAGGAATTTATTTAAAATCAATATCGAACAACGTTCAGTTATTATTTGATTGAATTAGTGTAGAAAATATAGTAATTTTTATATGGAAATATTGAGAAGTTTTTACTATTTCAGTGAGAATCTGTTTGTCACTATGCATTTTCTAAATAAACTGGTTCGATTCGATAAGAAATGTATGTAAAAAGTCATACTCTATGATACAATTTTTTTCACTAATTTACCGTGGGAAAAAACATCGTTTTCAATAGTATGGGAACTTTCATGGATGGAAAGGTAAACAAAGGATATATATATATATATATATATAAAACAATTTATATAGAAAGGTATATCTAAACTTTTTCCTCATTATAAAAAAAAAATTGTAACACTATATTTCATCACATAAATATAAATTGAAACAAAAAGAATAACATAAACTGACACAAACCCTGTATTACATTTCATTTTCGAGAGCCAAACACTTTAAATTTGATTAATAATTTGCTCATGATATCTTCAAATTTTTTTAAAATGAAATGTAAATACTTGTAAGCTACATAAAAAAGTACTACAAATCAAAATAATTAACAATTCAAAATATTTAAAAGATATACGAAAAAATTTACTGACAAAATTAGACTTGTTTGAATCTTGAAATTCGAAATGTGTCACGTAAAATTGTGACAGAAGAATTTACCTAACACCATGTCCAGGGCCACATTGAATCTTGTTCATCCAAAGATTTCTTGTGGCAGGACCAATAGATATACAATCATCTCCAGTTTGAATACTTGTGCCACTAATAATAACACCAATTGAAGATTGTATATGAATTCCATCAGTATTTGGACTAAAATCAGGTGCTATTATTCTTACATTTTTAACCATAACATTCTTGCAACTATTAATCACCAAGTGCATTAACTGGCTGTTGAGTGATGTTAAACCACTAACCACAACATCATTTGCCCAGTTGAAGGTTATAGACTGCATATAAAATCAGATATTAAAATACTATTCAATTGGAAATGCTAACAAGTTTCTCTCAAAATAAGTATCATTAATTTTAGTATAAATGTAATGTATAGTTTACTAAACTATGAAATAATGTCAAATGTTATTAAAAAGATGAAGTATAAAGGACATAAGACAAGTTTCTAATGTATTGTAAATAAAAATAAATTGCAACATCACATGTTCAAATCACAAATGTGACATTTAACATTTTTTATGAATCTCTACCTTAGCTGTTTTTTCATCCTTAATCAAAAGTCTTGAATTTCAAGCTTTGAAAATGAAAACCTTTTCAATTAGAGTATTTTAAGCGAATTCAAATTTATCAGACTAGTAGATTCAAATATTAAAAAATATTTTTGTAAAAAGAAAAACGCGATAAATTGAGCACATACCCTAGCTCCAACAGGACAATTCTTCCCTAACTTCCTACAATCCCAAAATCCAGCTCCATTTCCATCAAGAGTTCCTCCGATGACCGAAATCCGGTTAACCTTAATGAACAAAATCCAGTAGCCAGAGTTGCCAAGTGCATTATAATCAGATGGAGCCACTAGGGTTCCATCAATTTTTACAGTAATTTTATTTTTGCACGGCCCTCTAAAAGTAATCGACTTAATCAAGTACTTTCCACGTGGAACATAAATGGTAGCCGCCTTCACTGAGGTGCACGCGGCTACCCAAGCTTTCAAAAAAGGTTGAGTTGCATCACTTTTGCCATCTGATTTTGCTCCAAAATTTAACACGTTGTATGTTATTGATGATGCATTTGAATTCAAGAAAATGAATCTAAATGAAAAGAAGACACAACACCAAAAAGTTACTAAAGCCTTAGGCATTTTATTGTTATTTTTTTCCTCTATGTTAGTGGATAGGGAAAAGGGGGTATTTAAAGTGATTTTCTATTAAAGGCTCGTATGGTACCAGGGATAAAGAATAATTGATTTTAAAATTATTTTATTTTATATTTTGGTTCGGATGACTTATATCAAAACTAGTTATTTCGAGATTATCATGTTATTTTTATATCACATCGAGGGTGACATAATAATTTTGAAATAACTTATTTCTCAACCAAACGAGTCGTATCTATTTTGATTAGTTAATGATTTTAGAAATAATTGGATGATGATTAGAATCACAAATGCTAATAACTAACTAATAAAAGGTCAAAACTTATTTTAGTTTCATGTTGTGATATGTACGGCAGCCATGTGATAAGAGCATGTTTGCCTGTACCATAGCATCTAACCATGTGCATGTATGCAAATGTATTTAATCATCTGATTTCGAAATTGAAACTTGAAAATTTTAGCTTTTAAAGTTAGTAATTTTCATAATTTGAACAAAATTATATTTAACAAGATTAATTTCTCATAATTTATTTAAACTTCGTGATTAAAATTGATATTTAAAATTAAATCTTTGAAATTTTATTCATAATTTATAACCAAATTTAAAGTAGCTTAAATAGTTTTATTTTTTTCCTATTTCTCACTCGATATTTGGTACTACTTGAAATGTCAATCAATTTGAATTTGTATTATTCAAAAGGTTTATTAAAAATAAAAGTGTTTTCTATTAAAATTTATTTCATTTTTAGTGCTTAAACACGAGATTCTAATCGATAGAAAGAAAAATCATATTCTAATGGTAATTAATATACTCAAGTGGTCATCTTAAATTGGTATATTTATAGAAAAAATTGAAAATTGCATGTGCCAAGTCACAATAATTAAAGTTTGGTTATTCAACGTCATATTTATATAGAGCATAAATTGGAACTAAAAAGGAATATTGAAGAAGAAACAAATTGATCAATGATTGTCTCATCATTGTTTCATTAATCCAAGTTATTTTTTTATTTGACTTTTAAGTACTATTTGATAAGTTAAAAAATCCCAAAATAATATTCAATCATCTTATCGCAAAATGTAGAATTTTATGTAAGTAGTAGCACTTTCAAGATGAGTGATTTTGATCCTATGAATAGACCTACAAACACACACTCTTAGTTAATTATCATAATTAAGAAAATGCTTTAGAATGTCATCAACTTTGGAAAAAGGATTATTTATGGTATTCATCAAAAATTTGATTCATTTATCATTTTCGTTTGAGAAAATATTTATTCATATCAATATTTGTTAACTGAAACGATATAGATGAACTAAACTTTTAACGAATAAAATAAATGTCTTTTCTAACAATATAATGACATATTTGAGCTTTTTTTCCTTTTTAAAAAATTTATTTAATTAAATGACATAACTAATCATAATTAACCACATTAAAATATGTTTTGCATAGTCAGAATTATTTTCAAGTAACAAATAATGATACGAGTGAGTCGAAAGTATAGATGAACCAAACTTTAAGAAAATGACATAGATGAACCTTAACTTTTCTCAAAAAAAACTATTAAAAAAAATTCAAAAAGAAGTTTTATATATTAATATTCTCCAAACAACTTAGAACTTTACCTACTTATAACGGCAGATCTTATACTTTAAGATGTAGCAAAGCCTCAACAGCAAATTAGTCAGTTAAGTGCATGAATGTGACTGTAATTAAGTAAAACAAATAACATGGCTTACTCCTCCGTCCAAATTTACGTGATATTATTTAATTTGACACGAAATTCAATTAAAAAAACAAAAAAAATTGTAACTTCTGATATAAAATAAATCAAAATATTTGTATGATTTTAAATCTCACCAGTAATAAAATTATCAGTTTAAAATTATGTTATTACGGAATATAAGAATATGTCATTTTTTTTAAGATTGACTAAAAGAAGTTGTCACATAGGGAGTATTAATTTCTATTTTGTCAACGTTACATAAGAAAATAGACACATGGGATCAATGAGTGATAGAGTTTTTTCAGGCGAAATGATCGTCTTTCACATTATAATTTCCTATAACTAAAATAACTTAAACAATTGGCTATATAGATAATTGAGATTTGTCAAGCAAAT